GTGTCAGTGGGAGAAATAGTGCACCATCATTAGTGTCACTGATACCAATGATGGGGCATTATTCCTCCCACTGACACCAACGATGGGGCACTTTTCCTCCCCCCCACTGACACCAACGATTGGGCACTATTCCTCCCCCCCCCCACTGACACCAATGATGGGGCACTATTCCACCCCCCACTGACACCAATCATGGAGCACTATTCCACCCCCCACTGACACCAATCATGGGATACTATTCCTCCCCCCCACTGACACCAACGATGGGGCACTTTTCCTCCCCCCCCCACTGACACCAACGATGGGGCACTATTCCTCCACCCCCCACTGACACCAATGATGGGATACTATTCCTCCCACTGACACCAATGTTGGGACACTATTCCTCCCACTGACACTACCAATGATGGGACACTATTCCCCCCACTGACACCAAAGATGGGGCACTATTCCACTGACACCAATAATGGGGCGCTATTCCCCCCACTGATACCAATGATGGGGCACTATTCCTGCCACTGATACCAATGATGGGGCACTATTCCTCCCACTGACACCAATGATGGGGCGCTATTCCTCCCACTGACACCAATGATGGGGCACTATTCCTCCCACTGACACCAATGATGGGGCACTATTCCTCCCACTGATACCAATGATGGGGCACTATTCCTCCCACTGATATTAATGATGGGGCACTATTCCTCCCACTGATATTAATGATGGGGCACTATTCCTCCCACTGACACCAATGATGGGGCACTATTCCTCCCACTGATACCAATGATGGGGCACTATTCCTCCCACTGACACCAATGATGGGGCACTATTCCTCCCACTGACACCAATGATGAGGCACGATTCTTCCCACTGGTGTTCCCACCCTCGGCTTATACTCGAGTCAATAGTTTTTCCCAGTTTTTTGTGGTAAAATTAGGTACCTCGGCTTATATTCGGGTCGGCTTATACTCGAGTATATACGGTATTTATCGCATACCAGGGATCATGGATCAGTTTGAATACATCAGAATACTTGAAGAGGTCATGCTGCCTTATGCTGAAGAGGAAATGCCCTTGAAATGGGTGTTCCAACAAGACAACGACCCCAAACACACCAGTAAAGTGCAACATCTTGGTTCCAGACCAACAAGATTGACGTTATGGAGTGGCCAGCCCAATCCCCGATCTTAATCCAATAGAAAACTTGTGGGGTGACATCAAAAATGCAGTTTCTGAGGCAAAACCAAGAAATAGAGAAGAACTGTGGAATGTCGTCCAATCATCCTGGGCTGGAATACCTGTTCACAGGGGCCAGAAGTTGGGTGACTCCATGCAACACAGATGTACAGCAGTTCTCAGAAACAGTGCGACTACAACCAAATATTCATTAAGTGATTCAAAGGAAAGCAAAATCTTCAAACATTTTTCAGTTTATATAGTGAATGTTTGAGTTTGTAAAGAAGAATACAAACACTGCTATTTTTTTGAACAGTCTAATATTCACTTTGCTTCAATTTTTTTAGAGGAACAACACAAATTTGTTATATTTTTCTTCATGTTTTGATTTGGAATAGAATGTGTCGTGTTCCCAATGCATTTGTGTGTATGGAAATAAAAGCTATTAGAAGGATTTTGAGCTTTATTCACTTTTTTCAACACACTGCTATTATTTTGAACACAACTGTATATATACACACACAACTTTATAACTGTATATATATACACACACACACTGTATATATACATACACACAACATATATATATATATATATACACACACACACAACTGTACACACACACACATTTCATACTTTCCACTTCCGCCACACAGGGACGCCCGCCGAGGAAAAGCCACAGGATGATCTACAATTGCAGATCAATGGTCAGGGAGGAAGAACAGAGCTGTATCTATATTTACATAGATACAGCTCTGTTGTGATGGGGGGAGACATGAATCGTGCAACTTTGCAGAGCTGAGAACACGATCCATCACTTCCCATAGTAAAAGCATCTCATAGTGTACACCAAGCACATAGCTAGGCACACACTCAACCCTTTGATCACCTTAGATGTTAACCCCTTCTCAACCAGTGTCATTGGTGATTAGTGTATATTTTTAGCACTGATCACTGTATTAGTGTCACTGGTTCACACAAAGTGTCAGTTAGTGTAAAAATGTCCGCTACAATATCGCAGTCCCGCTATGAGTCGCTGATCGCCGCCATTATTAGTATAAACTTGTTAGTCTATTTTTTGTTATAGGGCAAAAAGTAAAACTGCAGATGTGATCAAATACCACCAAAAGAAAGCTCTCTTTCTGGGGAAAAAAGGACATAAATTTAATTTGGGTACAGCATTTCATGAAAGCGCAATTGTTAGTTAAAATAACGCAATAATAATGGAATGAAAACCCAATGTTACAATTGCCTGTATGCTTGTTATATACTGAAAAAGTTTGCCTAATATTACAGTGTATGTTCCACCGAGTAGAGGTTTTTTTTTTTTTTTTTTTTTTTAACTTGTTTGCTATGCCTCACACTTTATGACTAATGCAACTTGTCATATTTTGACTGTGTGTAAGTGTGCTGTATCTTTTGTATGGCCTTCAACTTTTGAATTAAATTAGAACGATAGGCTCACCATATAAAACAATGCTATCCAGCAGCACCAGTAATGCTTACTGCTCTTGTGCAAATTTCACACAAATTGCAAAATGATAGAATTTGTCTGAAGTCCATTTTCCCCACTTTCTCTGCAGCAATGCCCCCCGTTGCCATGCTTGTGTCTATGGAGTTACGTCTGACTACAGTGTGATGTGGTGTTATAATGCAGTCACATGCTATAGTTCTTTAAGAACTCACACCAATCACCTCATATTCAGCACTGCCCATACCCTGCCTATTCCCGCCCACCATGTGAACCTGTCCAGCAGAGGCAAATCCCAACCATTTCTTACCCTCTGCTGGGTAACTCTGGCCTCCCCACACTTTGGTTGTGAAAGCTGTAATGTGAATTGGAACACTCCTGTATTGTAGGTGAGCAATTTATGCATCATTACACTGATTGCTAGTGCAGAATGCAGAGAACTTGCATGTGAAACATGTCATACAGATATGGAGACTTGTATTTTATTTAACATTTATTATTGAAAAATTGGATTTTTGTACGCACCATAAAATCCTTTTCTTTGAGTTCATTGAAAAACACAGCCATACTTCATGACAGATGGGTATGATGTTGCATCCTACAGGAGAAGAATACTAAGTGCAACTAAACTAAAAGCACACTCTGGGGGTAGTCCTCTGGAGGTGAGCAAACCCCCCATCTGCAAAAAAGAGTTCAGTTAGTAGTCGTCAGTATCAGCAGTATATGACATACCAAATAGGATAGCCAAAAGAAGACTGAGTGGGAGCTGTGTCCTTCAATGAACAAAGAGAAAAACAGGATTTTTTGATATTCATCAAAAATCCTTTTCTCTGTTCATTGAAGGACACAGCCATGCTTCATGAGAGATGGGATATCCCAAAGCAGTGCCAGAGAGAAGTAGGTTAAGTCCATAAACAGAAAACAGCAACAGGACTCCGTGCTGCAGATGGGGGGTTTGGCCACCTCCAGAAGGCCTCCCTCAGGGTGTGCTTTTAGTTTAGTTGCATCTAGAGTCCTGCTCCTGTAGGTGGCGACAACCCATCAAACCCATCTGTCATGGAGTATGGCTGTGTCCTTTAACCAGTTGCTGACCGCAGATAGCCGAATGACAGCTACACTGCGGCCGGCCAGTTCTGGGAGGGCGTCATATGACGTCCTCCCATAACGCGCTCTCCTGCACGCCCCTGGGGGAGCGCACCCGGCGATCTCCGTGATCGTTGTGTTCTACGGACACAGTTGTTCACGTGATGTGGTAAAAGGCCAATCACAGCGGCCTTTTACCACGTGATCAGCCGTGTCCAATGACACGCTGATCACGGAGAAATGCAATTGCCGGTTCTCAGCTGCACTTTCCTCATGCTGTCAGATCGTGAGGAAAGTACTGCCGAGAATCGGCAGTTGTTAAAGCAGGGATCGGCACTGATGATCAGTGCCCTGATGATCGGTGCCCAGCAGTGCCACCCACCAGTTCCGCCCACTTGTGCCCAGCAGTGCCACCCACCAGTTCCGCCCACTTGTGCCCAGCAGTGCACCCATCTGTGCCCAGCAGTGCAACCACCTGTGCCCAGCAGTGCCCACCAGTGCCATCCAGAAGTGCCACCTACCTGTGTCCACCAGTGCCACCCAGCAGTGCCCACCAGTGCAGCCAGTCAGTGTCCAGTGGTTGTGCCAGTCAGTGCTCAGCAGTTGCGCCAGTCAATGTCTAACAGTGCCGCCAGTCAATACCTAGCAGTGCCGCCAGTCAGTGCCCAGAAGTGATGCCAGTCAGTGCCACTTATCAGTGCTGTCTATCTGTACCCATCATCAGTGCCATCATCAGTGCCGTCTATCTGTGCCGCCTATCAGTGCCCTTCAGTGCTGCCTATCAGTGCCCATCAGTGCTGCCTCATCAACGCACATCAGTGAAGGAGAAAAATTGGCTGCTTGCAAAATTTTATAATAGAAACAAAGAAACTTTTTTTTTTCAAATTTTTTGCATTTTTTTGTTTATAGTGCAAAAAGTAAAAACACCCAGCGGCGATTAAATACCACCAAAAGAAAGCTCTATTTGTGAGAATAAAATGATAAAAATTTCAAATGTGTACAATCTTGCATAACCACGCAATTGTCAAAGTGCGACAGTGCTGAAAGCTGAAAATTGGCCTGGTAAAGAAGGGGGTATAAGTGCCCGGTAGGCAAGTGGTTAATGGATGAAAGAGAAAACACACCAGCTGTGTCTATCTTTCCTATCTTCTTCCTTTGAATCATATAATTTGACAATTCTTAAATCCACAATCACACAACAGTCAGGAGAAAAATCTGTAATTTAATCCCAGTGAGTGTAAGGGGCAGAGAGAGAACAATGAGGTCTTACCAGGTCATTCATGTTGTTCTGGCTAGCTGGGTGAATTTCTTCCAGGAACTCCAAGACATAGAAGGTGTATCTGTCCATCAGGTGGACTCCAATCGCCATATCTGGTTGGTGCTGGAGGACAAATGCAATCATTTAATATACTGTACACACTAGTTTTCTTATTTACCAGTTCTTTGTCTTTAGAATATCTATACACGTCTTACACACCGTAGATCCTTTATTATATCCAGGCAAATCAAACACATTTACAACCTTGCACATTGATCCTATTGCTGTAAGTTGGGAGGTATGTTAGGATCACCAAGGGTAACCCCAGCTCAAATTTCTTTCAAATGTTCAAAACCTCCCTCTATGTGCAGCACATTTACTTTTGACTGACATAAATCCGGACATTTCTCAAAAGGAATACAGGTAATAATGGGGATTCCTGGCTCTTAAATCAGCCAAAAGTAGGGTAAAACAACAGTATTTACTGCTATATTTTCTCCACATAGATTAAAGAGAATCTGTCAACGCTAAAATATAGGAGCTCCCATTAGAGCGGAACTTTAACGATACGAGTTTGATAACAAATAATTTTTTTTAACAAGAAAAAAAAAAAAAACACATACTGTACATTCCATATTAATAATTATGTTACTAAAATGAATGTGTTGTAAGTTGCCTCCAGCATTGCTCCTGTTTCTTCCTGCTGGAGGCTGCCATTTTGTTGAAGCCCAGAGTAGTAATTTCCTTATTGGAATCTCTCCCTCTCTTCTCGGTCTAAAAATTATATGTCAATTTCTTCAATTAAAATATGTGCATTTCCAGCCTTGATTGTATGTCTTTGGAAAGTTAGAGGAAGGCTGATAAGACAACATCCTTGTAAATATATATCTCTTTTGTATTTCCCTGACTGCAGACTATTTCCTGTAACCTCTCCTGCTTTTCTTTTCTCCCTCCCTAATCTGTCCCTCCCTAGTCTGTGCCATTTGTGTTGCTTTCTTCCCCCTTCAGCAACAGTAAATCTTAAAGCTGTCAGCTGATCGGCCTCTAGTGACTCACTGATCTTAGGCACAGTGCCGAAAATAGATGGCAACTGAGCATGTGCAGAGCAGGATCTGACAATCCATTACTGGATTTAAATAGTATAAGCTCTTATTTTATGATTTTTTTTTTCATAAAGACTTTATTGAATATTAAAAAAAAAAAAACATAGGTGAAGTGTACATAAATCAAGAAATAACTTTTACAATGGTAGGGAAGCCCCGAAAGGCCTAAATTCAGGGTACAAAAAAAACAAAGAACAAAGACAATGTCGGAGCCTTAGTCCCGATAACACTGCAATAGGAATTGGATAATGGTGATGTAGATTCGTCTTAGTGATGGGCACAGGAAAATGCCAATTCAAAGGAGAGCAGTATCGAAGCTTAAGACAGACATGCTGTTTCATACAACCTGAATGCCAGGGGCCTCGCTACCAATATTTGAAGGAGCTAGCTTAAAATCGTAGAAGGCTGGGGTTAAATCATGGTTTGAGGTTGAGGGCCCTTGACACTCACTTAGAGGGGGTTAGCACTACTCAGCTGTGGTAATATGCTTATGTGATAATATCAGGGTGACAAATAATAAAAAAAAAAAAAAAAAAAAAAACACAAGTGACAAAAGGGTAGGGGGAAAGGGAATGCTTAGGAGGGAACTCCCAAGTGCCTCCCCAGCATATATTATTATTATTATTATTATACAGTATTTATATAGCGCCAAAGGGTTTGCTCAGCGCTATATTCCAAGGGTATAATCTTCATTCATAAAGAAATACATCAAGGGCTAGTTAAGAACAGGTAAATTAAAAGGAAGCCCTTATTTTTAATGTTTTACATAGCTATATCTGCAAAAGGGGCCAGCCTGAAGTCCTCTATCAGGTGCTTGCAAACTTTAATTCTTTTCTTATTAAATAACATGATCCCCCTCTTCAGGGGTCCCCCACCAGAGCTTCTGGCTCCTCCTCTTCAGTGTGCACTCATGCAAGCTCTCTCCCAAGTCCTGCTGCCTGCGTCTATAGACACAGAAGGTGGGGCTTGGCCCTGCCCCCCACTCCCTCGTCATCGGATTTGATTGACAGCAGCAGGAGACAATGGCTCCCACTGCTATCAATCTGCCCTTTGAGGAGAGAGCCACTACTCTAGGGCACAGCACTGGATTGAGATCGGCTCAGTTAAGTATAAGGGGGGGGGGGGGAATCCTGGAATCAGGTTTTTTTTTTTTTACCCCCAGAGAATGCATAGGCTTTGGCATCACTTTGACTTTCTGACTAAAGTTCCACTTTAAAGACTTTGTTTGCACAGATGCAAAGTCAGGGGCTATCAAGCTGAACCTGGCTTCACTACACACTGAATCACTGACCTGAAACAAGAATGACTCACTAGGTAGCGAGCTTTATACTCCTACACACCAGTCACTGGGCCTAGCTATTACTGCATTGCAGAAGTAAGGGACAGAGTTATAATTGAACATGTAGGATGCAAAATGTACTTACAGACAGGGAATCCTCTCCAACTTGGCTGCTTGCAAGAGCCATTATGTTAGGGGAGTAAAACCTTTCATACATGGAGGCTCCTTGGCAGGTGTCTATTATGAACAACAATTCGTTATACCTGGAAAAAATAAACAGAGTTTTATACAATAACTCTTCTTTATATATTTTATCACTTAAAAATATGATACTACTTTATAGTAGAACCTCACAATAAACAAAATGAAACAATTTATCCCAATGATGTACTCATAATGGTGGACTTTTCTATAACTTTACATATCTGCATGATCAAATCCCTGACTGTCAGAATATATTGTATAGCAACAGTATAACTTTTCTTGAACACCTTCCCGCCCGGCCTATAGCAGATTGACAGCTGGGCGGGACACTCACCGTTGTGACTGGGCGTCATATGACGTCCTGTCAAAACGAGCTGCTCACACGGCCGCGGGGCCAGGCAGCGGCACGATCTGTCACTGGCTGTGTCCACGGGACACAGCTAATGACATATCACTACACCGGCCCATTGCCAGTGTCATGCGACCACTGTGACCAATCACAGCAGATCACATGTCAATTGTATACAATGGATGGCTTCCTGTCATGCCATCAATTGTATACAATTATGTTGTTAGCTGTGACTGGTCAAGGCAGTCACATGATAAACAGGGCTAATCAGAACCCATCTGTATCATGTGATCAGCTCTGCCCAATCACAGCTAATCACAACAAAAGACTGAATGAATCAGTTTCATTCAGTAACAATGGTTGCAAATATCAATGAAATACATTGGTATTAGCAATCATAATGTGTTAAAAAAAAAAAAATCCTGATCACTTGCCCAGAGTAGTTCAATGTTACTATGGTAACATTGTATTGCTTTTGTCACAGTGTGCTGAAAAATAAAATCGTAAAAAAAGAAAATATTTAATAAAAAATTTAAAAAAAAATAGAAACATTTGAAAACAAAATACAAAATTCAATTATTATTATTTTCACCAAAGAAATGTAGCAGAATACATTTTGACTTAAATTTATGAAGAAATGTTATTTATTTGCAAAATGTTATAACAGAAACGAAGAAAAGTGTGTTTTTTTTCAAAAGTTTCAGGTGTGTTTTTTGTTTTATTTAGAAAAAAAAAAAATACAAAACTCAGTGGTGATTAAATACCACCAAAAGAAAACTCTATTTGTGTGGAAAAAAATGATAAAAATTTCATATGGGTACAGTGTTGCATGACCGCGCAATTGCCATTCAGAGTGCGACAGCGCTGAAAGCTGAAAATTGGCCTGGACAGGAAGGGGGTAAAAGTGCCCGGTATTGAAGTGATTAAAGCTCCAAATTGAATTAAAAAAGCAGCCCTTGAGCTTCATTCCATTGACTTTGGCTTAGCTAAAATGATGTCACCAGACTGCTACAGGCAACAGGAAACATTTCCTCAGTCTCCTCTTTCCCCCAGTGATCAGACTACAACTTTGCAACATTATAGCAAGTCCCAAGGAGAGAGGCTGCAGCAGGGGCTGATCTGTATCACATTTGTTAACACCAAGAACAGCAAAGGCACCGGAATTAAAACAGGCCATACATTCATCAGGGAAGGCTCCCCGCTGGCAGAACACAATAGTGCTGTGGTAGGGATTCCCCCATCAACACTAATTGTGTTGATGAAGGAATCAAATGATTTTCTTTCTTGGAAGCATGGTTTTCAAGAAAGAAAATTATATAATGGACACTGCTAACAGCAATCTGCTAACGGCTATAGGCACTGGAAATAACAGAAAGGAAAAACCCTGACAGACCCATAGATGGAGCGAATCTCGGCTGGTCCCTGCTTAAAGGATAAGTTCAACTTTGGAAACACGTAACATGCTCCATCTATTTTTTGGGTGGAACTTGCAACATGTTCTCGCTGCATCTACTGACAGCTAGCAGGGGATCTTCTCCCCCCTCTTGCTGTCATTTTTTTTTTTTTTTTTTTTTTTAAACGCGGCCGCTCTGCCCGGCCACATCATTCATTCCCAGACTTTTGTGAATGGAAAACTACAAGTTGTGAAAACCGTTGTGGCTGTTGGTTTGTAGTTCTCAATGAACTACCACGGTGCTGTTGAGCTCTCTGGTAGTGCATTGACTCTTCCGGTCAGAGGGTATCTGCCTGCCCGTATGAGGTACGAGCAGACAAATACACTGACAAGTCTGCAGGAGTCCTGTCTGGCACCTGGGATCTGCTGATTGCTGGTGCAATACTTTTTAGGCTCCAAATACAAAAAAAAAAAAAAAAAAAAAAAAAAAAAAAAGAAGAACAAATGCACATTTTTTTTACCTTCAAAAAAAAAAAAAAAAAATGTGCATTTATTTATTTTTAAAGTGGACATATCCTTTAACATAAGGCAACGTTCAGACCTGTTGCTTTTCTGAAAATTGTTTGGATCACTTTTCAGAGCTGTTTGACAGATGATGAGGAGGCAATGTGACGCTTCCTCACCACCTCTTTGAACCCCATAATTGCAACACAGAGGCACTGAAAGCATCCTGCAGAGCTTCAACATTTGCTTGAATGGGAGGAGTTCGGCGGGCTTACTGTCTGCCAAGCATGTCATGTCGGATAATTCTTGCTGCAGGTGCCAAGCAAAGCATCTCGAACAACCCCGTCCACTACCATTGCAGCTTAATGGGGGGCGATTGTGAGGGAGTTGAGAATGAAGCTCAACTGTGCAATTTTAACGTGTCCCCAACTGTCTATACGAACCCTAGAGAATTATGGGGTTAAGTGAGGAGGCGTCATGTTGCTTCCTCACCACCTGTCAAATGGCTCTGAAAAGCAATCCAAACTCAGATCGCTTTTTAGAGAAGTGTCAGTTTAGATCTAAACATAGCCTTACAGTGTCATCTCTGAGCCAGCATCTCAGTGTGGGAATTGGATTCTGACACTGGACAGTACCCAAGCAAAGTAAGCACAGTCCTAGAGTGGGAGTAGTAACTGTGGTTTTTACCAAAAGTAATAAGACCACATAGTTATTAGCACACATTCCCTTAACATGAAAAATATATTTGATGCTAGGTATATTTTTAAAAAAAAGTTAAATGTATTTTAAAATTCACCTAGTTTGAAAATCTTTCCTCGTATTACCTTCCCACAATGCCTTGCAAGGCAGATGGACTATCAGAAGAAAAATCTAACGTTCTGGCATCTCTGAAACTTTTCTACGAAGGTCTTCTGAACTTTCTTTTGATCAGGCCGTAATTCGCATGAAAGGATCTTGCTTTAAAAGAGCAGACTATTAGTAACCAGACTTTTTGTGCCTTTTTTCCCTTCTTTACAGGGCCAGGCACCTCCATGGTATACTTCTCATCTCATCGACTGGAATACTTAAATCCAATTAGCCTCTTTTCAAGACGTGGCTTTCTAACATACTTCACCCAACAATAACCTTGACTGCTTAAGCCATTAGTTGAATAAAAGACATCAAAATGAAAAACATATGCCAGTTAAATAAAACTTTGAGTGGTAGTACAAGTGAAGCCGGCCGTACAGGACCAATTTCAGTGGATTCCTGCTGAATCAGCTGGCCCTGTTGGCACCACAAAAGACGATTTTTCAAATCGGCTTTCATTGAATAAACTGGGTGGAAAATTGTCGACCGGACATTGACTGCATCCAATCAGATGAAGCCACTTTTTTATTCCAATGGTTTTTATTAATTTTTAAACATTGTAAAACAGAGGCAATAAAAACACACCCACACAGGGGCTATCAATTGCACAGAAAAAAAAATGCAAAATGAAAAAAAAAAACAAAAAAAAAAAAAAAAACAGTGCTCTAACGCCAACAGGGCAAAAGGTACGCCCACGCAGGGGCTATCAATGGCACATAAGGTACAAAACGTACAAAACATTAATGCAACTGACTCTAACAACTAAAGGCAGCTGTCCAGTCACACCAAAAAACAGAGAGAGAGAGAAGGGAAAAAAAAAAAAAAAGGAAAAAAAAAAAAAAAAGGGGGGGGGGGCAAAAAGCAGGGGTCCAGGAGAGCCAGTATCGAACGCCATTACATCCCCAGGCTAGCCGGGGGGGAGTGTGGGAAAGGCATATTGCAACCACGGCTCCCATATTTTCAAAAATTTACGGTGGGAGTCATTGCGGATACTCGACATCTGCTCGTTGAGCATCATAGTAGTCATACAATCCCGCACCCCCCTGAAGAGGGACAAACGGACTCTTCCAGGCCTGGGCAATTGTTCAAGTGGCTGAAAAAACAAATAGAAAGCCAACTTCTGCTGGTGAGCCAAGAGGGGCAATGAAGCAAGGCACACCGGGCATCCCGGCGTATGGAGAGATGGAACAAGGTGAAAAGGAGGCCAAACACACGAGACCAAAAGCGAAACAGTCTCGGGCATGACCACCAAATGTGCAAGACATCTCCACAATGGCCACAACCCCGAAAACATTGATCACTACAGGCAGGGTTAGCCCGGGCCAACCGAGCCGGAACCCAATACCACCGAAACGATACCTTATAGGCTGCCTCCAGTGTGGTCATATTAAATGAGCATTTAGCTATGAATGACCAAGCCTTATTCCAGTCCTCCGGATCCACAGCCACTCCCAGGTCGCGCTCCCACTGAACAACATATGAAAGAGAAGTATGCGACGAGCGTCTGTTCAGAGCTGCATAAAGAAGGGAGATAAGGCCCTGATGCTGTTGGCAAAGCTGTTCAAAGGCAGATTCCTGGTACGGAGATGAAGCCACTTTTTGAGTATTCAGCATCCATGGGTCCTGATGGCAGCTAAATACAATAGCTAGCATGGGATATTCTTTTATTCATGCGGTTTAGTGTGGATGGGGGAATCAACTGATTTCTTTTGTTCAGCCTGCAGGGTTGTATGAGAGAAATGTGTATGGAAAGTTATAGAGTGCCTTTTAGGAGCCTTTGTTGCAGCATGTCAAGGAATGTGTAATGTCTTGTACATATGGACGTCTGTGAGTTAAAAGCAATGTGTACAGCAAGCTTTTACAAAGTATCTGCATAGCTTTCAGCCAAGCTTCAAGCAGCTTTTTTTGAAGCCTTTTAGGCTCCATTCACATCTGGCGATTTGGGATCATGGGAGGAATCACCA